AACTATTATATCCTTTAAACTTGTAGTTCTAAAAGAAATAAATTAGCATTAACTTCTTCTAAACTCACTACTTCATGAATATAAACACCATCAACATCAACCTTTTTTAAACTAACCTTTTTACGAACATAAATATCACTAATATCAATATTTTTTAAACTTATTACTTTACAAACACTACTAATATTAACCTTCTCTAAACCCACTATATTAAAAATCACTTTAGATTTTGAATAAGAACAGTAAGATCAAGTCAAATTTATTGGTCATAATCATAATTATAGTAATTTACCATCAACTAATCATTCTACCTTACTGTCAATTAGTCAAACTTCCTTTCAAGCAATTCTCTCTCAAGAAACTACAACAGATATATCATCAGATATTATTAAACGATATCTTAATATCAACATACTAAGAAGTTTTAGTAGTGCTAATATTTCTTATCAATCTTCAACTCACAAACTTTAAGAAATAGTAACTGATAAATAAATTGAATTTGTTATAACTTTTATTATATTATTAAAGCATTCCTCAATATGTCTCTATATAATTATAACAGATAATTTTAGAACTTGAAAAATTAAAAAATGAAAAGAATCAGTTACAGGTTGAATTACATCAATAAAAACTTTAAGTAACTGATATGAAAAGAGATATTGAAAATTTAAAAGATTGATTTTGTCAAGTTGAAGAAGAGAATGAATTGCTTCATAATTTCAATGAAATTTTTAGCAAAGAATTGGATAAGTTGTACAAAGAAAATAAACTTTTAAGTGAAGAACTAGAAAGGGATTGTCAATTAATCATACTATGAAGTTTAATTAATCCTTTACAGTAAAATTTATCTGAATAATTCAACAAGAAAATCAAATCAACAACTCCAGAATCTTTTGACAAAAGTGATAGATTAGAAGCAAGAGTAAGAGTGAAAATTGTTTTAATAAGAAAATTTGAAGTAGAATTTTATATTACCATATATAACAATTTTTTATTATTTATTTTTTATTAATTAGATTGAGATGAAAAACTTATTAAAGAACAAATACTTGATAAATATTGACTGGATTATGATAAAATATTTAACAAACAGTTAAATACTATTAATAAAAAATTAATATCTGAATTTCAAAAAATGATGAGAGAACACTTCAACACTTCAGTTACTCAACTATTAGGTTGGCTATGTTTAATACATAAACATAAAAGAGATTGATTATGAAAATAAAATTTGGATCAATTAGAAAAAGACGATCAAAGAATGCATATGAATGCGTAGCTAAATAAAATAAGAGATATATTATCTAAATTCATATTTTAAGTTATTTAATAATTAATCTTTATGCATTTGACAGAAAAAAAATAGACAAATAAAGATTGCAATTAAACTGTTTGAAAAGAATAATAACAATCTTTGAGAATTCAATAAGAATGAAATCTTATCAATTCTAATTCAAAATGGATATTACTTCACTGAAAAATCAGATTCAGAAGACGAAACTAAAGAGAGATTGAATAATAAGCAATTTATCTATATTTACAATTACACATAATGCTTTAAAAAGGTAATAAAGCATAGATCATTAATTAATCTTTTTAAGTATTTATTTGATTTTCTTTTTACTTTTATTTAATAGCTAAAATAGTTATTGCAATACATTTTGGATTCTGCTGCTGAATAAATCCAATACGCAAGATAATAATGTGTCTGAATTTACAATGACAAATTTTATATTATGTTTAGTAAACTTTCTAAAAATGTATCAGCATTTACATATGATATAAAGAAGATTATAAATAATAAAACAGATATCACCAAAGATTATAAAGATTATAAAGGTTATAAAAGTTATAAAGGTAATAATAAAGTTAATAATGAAGGCAGCAAGGAAGAAAATAATAAAACTGATTTACCAGGATGTGATTTTATTCTAAACTCAGTGGAAATGAACCAAATTTAACTTGAAGATTTAAACGAATAAGAAGAATCTTGTTACTAATGCTGTACTAGTAAGTTAAGTTATTTTATTATATTCTATTGAAATTAATTTTATTTATATTATACTATATTAGCAAAAAAAGAATCAAAAAAGAGTCGAATTGGAAAAGAAAAGGAAGACCTTATAATGATATTCAATAAAAATAATGATATGTTTGAGGATTTATAGAACTTTTGTGTCTCTTCTAAAAAATCATACTATTATATCAAAACATTATATTTGTAATAATTTTATATTATTTTTATACTATTTTATAATAAACAATAATTTTATTATGTTAAACTTTATATTTTTTAAAGTCAAATAAAAAGTTAAATATTTGCTCATTTAAATCTAAATAATAGTTGAATATCTACCAGTTAAATGGTTGAATATTTGCTCATCTAAGATTAAATAATAGTTGAATATCTACTAGTTAAATGATCAAATATTAATCAAATTTTAGCTGAATTTTCTTTCTGTATAAAAGCTGAGTGACAGCCTAACTGTATTAAAAAAATAAACTTTTTTTAACCATAATTTGACCTATATTTGACCTAGTTAAATTTAAGCTGAATTGTCTTATTTTGACTAGTGATTGCTACTCATTCCATCAAAAAATACACATAAACTAGACTCCAGATTTTTCAAATATTATTTCACTATTCCTAATAACTTATATATCAATTTTAGTTAAATTTAAGAATTGCTACTGTAATATCTTATACACTGTTTTCTTATAGAAGCTTTGCATAAACTTGCTTTGATCAGTTTATTTTCAAATTTTAATTCTTCATTTTTAAATGTTCTAAAATCTTTCATTTTTTAGATATTTGCTAATATTATTGACAAATATATTTCTTTATTATATAATGTATAATTACTAAACTTAGCTAAGCTTTTTATTAATTCATTAATTTTAGAAGTTTATACAGATAAATCTCTTTAAAATTTAGGTTTCCTTTTATTAAAATAAACCTGATATGATTACAAATTCACTCAGATTTACCTTTGCATTCTTTTGTTACACCTTTTATCAGTGTTATTATGGGATATTAATAGAATATTGATAGAATATAAATGGGATAGATAGAATATTTTAGACATAATATAGGATAGGTTAGAACATATAGTTAGGACAACAAATCTCTGAAACATCAAAAATATATATCACTGCCTTTTATTACTGACTTTTTGTACCTGAATTCACAATAATCTTCATTATATTAATTACTGCCCCTTCTAAATGTAAAATGAATATTTTTACTAACTTAGTGGTTATCATATTTCAATTTTTCTATTTTAAAACTCTTTTTCTTCTATCTCCTATATTCTACCCATTTCTTAAAATTAACAATTATACAAATTAGTTTTGCCTATTTGACATTATTTTACAAAATTATCTTAATATTTCCTTAATTAAAGTTAAAGTTTATTTAAATAATATATATAACAACAAGATCAATACTCTTGCTAGAAATTGTATTTAGTTCTTTGTATTATAACTTAATATATCTAACTTTTGCAAAGACTTCATAGTTTACCAAATCATTTATTTTAATACTAATATGACAATTCATTAAAAATTTACATAGAGCATTATCAATCTCAATTCTCAACCAACTGGATATTCTAGCAAAGAACTCTTAAATTGTTCGTTCTCATTAGATAGCTACTTTTTTTCTTTTAAAGACAATATTGCTTCTATCTGTACTTTTTATATAGCTTCAGCTATTAAGAAAGCTAAGTATTAATAATTATTGAAAATGTATTCTACATTAAAAATTCTAAAAATAAGACATCTGAAGTTCTATTTGTCTTTTCTCCTGTGTTTTAGATGCAATGCAGCAGATAAAGTCTTTTATTATATTTGAATGTATCCAGTAATAAATTACGAAATAAAAATTATAATACTTCAAATAAAAGACCATTTGAAATTTCTCACTAATATGTCTGATATTAAAATTAAGCAATTGACCTATTAGCAACTTTGCATATACAACACTGTCTCTTTCTTTACTCTTATTAAAGAAAGTATTCCCCTTCAACTATATCAATTTATTCATAACAAACTCAATAATATTCTGATAATACATGCTGCTTGTTTTTCCCTTATGTATTTTATATTTAAACAAATCCAAAAAATTTGGACAGATTGATGTATCATACAGAAAACTTTAGAAAATTTTGCTGATATTACTCTAGAAAAAAAACAATTTTGTATTGTTCGATTATAAAATCTCTTCTTGTCTTTTTTCCAATACAATTAACAATACCATGGTGTGATTAGGATCTCACTGGTCAAATTTTTGGTGCAGTAGTGATCACATCCTCTCTTCTTTTGTTCATTTCTTTTCCTAGAAAATGATATATTTAGCTTAGATTAGGTTTAATTCAGAGGAAGTGTAAGGTCGATCTTCTTTTTAATTAATTCTTAAATGAAACTTTTGTTTTTTCTTATGATTTGTATTTTATTTTGTTTTTAGTTTATCTATAAATGTATAAATATTTTACTTTTATCATAATAAGATTAAGCGAAACTACTGCACTTTATAAAAAAAAAAAAAATTGATTATTAAATATAAATTCTATAAAAAGGTGTTGTTTTTAATGTAAAATCCTATATAAAAAGATTATAAAAAGATGGTAATATTAATAATAGTTTATTAAATGATGAAATATTAGATAATGAAAATAAAGAAGCAGCAGTTGAATAAATATTGGTAGACTTTAAATATATTTTAAACTTGGTAAATTATATTGTAATATAACCTTAAAATTTCGGCTCTCATCTAACTTTCTTAAGAGCAGAGATCTCCGGATCTTTTTTTACCGAAATGTAAAGAAAGGAATGAACGATATATCGATGCAAAAAAAACTGCGCATTGATATATTAGTTTTTGAAATATCGATCTTTTTTTATTACTTTAAATCAATTGAAATCGAACGTTACATGATATAAAAAGATCGACATTTGATTTTATCACCACGTGATAAAACGAATGTGACACATAACAGATCATGAGTGGTGACGTAACTGATTGAATAAAATACGCGACTTTCATCCTCAAGAAAAATTTTCTCAGTCGCAATTCTATTTTTTTAGAAAGTAAAATGTTAAAACATCCTTGTCCGCAACAGGATCTTCACCACGCAAGTAGGCTTTTGTTCAAACTTTTTATGATCACTAGAAACAACTTCAATACCTTCGTTCTCTTTCTAGCGTACTGGAGTCGTGTCCCAGATTCTTGGGGAGTTTGAGCGACTGGGACTTTTATTATATCGACAAATTTCCTGGATGTAATAAAAATGAGGCACATCATGCCCTGAGTTTTGAACTTAGTATCCTTCTTAAGAAACTACCAAGCGGAGGCTGCTGTTATTCCAGGGCAAACGCCTTGAAAAAGGCTTTGGAGGTTAGTGCCTTTCACATTATGTTTTATCATATAAGCATATTACCATGCCCTGCAGTCGTGTTCTGAGCGATTTGTCGCACAAGGCAACTTGCGTTGTTGCCTGAAGTGGGAAGTATACTATAGTCTGGGTCTTTTAGGCCGATTGTAATATGCGTTGGTAGCTCCATTAATATTATCTGCTTATGACCCTGCAGTCGTGTTCTGAGCGATTCGTCGCACAAGGCAACTCGTGTTGTTGCCCGAAGTGGGAAGCATGTTATAGTCTGGGCCTTTTGGGCCGATTATAGCATGTGTGGCTAACAGGCAATTAATTTAGCAATCTATGATGAAATACTTTGGTTTAACTTTTCTTTCATATTTTCGTCAAGAACTCTGATAACGATTCCGCAAATATTTGTTATGGAAAGAGCATCTCACAAACTTAGAATCACTGGCTATTTCAGATCGAGTACATAAAGTATATATTGTCTTTGACTCTAATAATATACTTAGCATTATATTGTGTTTACAATTTTCTCTTAATTATTTATTGTTAGCGCAAAATCAAAAGCATTACCATACAAGAAGAAATTGGACGAGCCGAAGAGCAGATATCAGAAAAATCAAAAAACATAAAGCAAGCTCGAAAGAAAGTGAGATACCATTGACTTCTTTCAGTAACAATAACAAAGAGGATTACAACAAGCAAGAGAATGATGTTATAGCTAGTGGTACGTTGCAAATAAATGGTTTTCTACAGGTTGCTACATGACTGACATATCGCTTGAATTAACTCAGATTTGGATGATAAAATGACCGAATCAATGGTTGGAAAAGTGGAGAGAACGGCACTGATTGTGGAGAATGTCGATTTGGTAGAAACTTTCGAATACTACTGTAATGAATGCGAAAAAAATATTTTTGAGTGAGTAGAGTTTTGCGGTTTATATGAACTTAAAGTAGGTAGACTTATTCATATTTTATCACCTTTTTATTAGCTTATGTAATAGCGATATAATGGACCTTAGACCTACCTCCCGATTTACAGAAAAAATCCCTGAAGAAATATGGGAGAAATTCGTGTCAAATACGTATCCTGAATACGAAATATCTAATACATGGGAAGATTTAATACGAGATATCTTTGAGGTATGTTGCAAAATCTAGACAGGTGAATTGCTTTTGATTTAGCTAATTTTATTATTCATTGATTGCCAAGTAGCCAAAAGAGACATTAGCAGAATGGTTGGAAGCCTGGCGTGGACTTCATGTAACTTCTGATAAAAAAAAAAGTAATGAAGACCTGGTGATCAAAGATGCGATATATAATATTCTCGCCCCATAGTATGTTTAAGCTTTTATGATTCTTTTTATACTTTCGATCTATTTGTGTTAATCTTTGATTTTATTTTATTTCAAGTATCGAAGCTTTCCAAGCGCCATACAATATACTAAAATCAGGCGATCTCGGAGAAAATCAATATAACGCACACTTTGTAAGTCCGGTACTGAGTAATACGCTCAAGGTTGTCCTTAATATCGAATGGAGAATGTAGGTGAATTAAATTATGCATCCTGAGAACATTCATTGGTAATGTTTAATTAAAATTAATGACATTACACTGTTAAAGTCTTGAAGTCCCGGTTGAAAGTAGTAAGCAACGACGTAATGCCAATATCAACCCAATTATTGACAAAGTATTGGAAGCAAAACGTGCGGATGGTCTCGCCCGCCACTGGCAAAGCCATGAAGAAGTGTTCATATATGAACAGACGGGTCCTCCAAATTTCGACGACGTTACTCAACTTTTCATCCATAATTACAAGTTAGTTCGGACCATGAGGGATGTATTAAATCAGAGAATAATACTTCGCCTTAGAGACGGGATATCTGATCACAAAGACCTAGCAAGCTTTGGTGCATTTGGTCATCGCAGTGAGATATCTTTATTTTGGTGTATGATGCACCAAAAATCATATTGTTTTCAGGAATACGGAAGTTTCAACATTCCTGCAATTTGGCAGGATCTTCCCGTACTAGCTGAAGCAATTATAACCTGCCTGAAATTTTTTGTGAGTGTAATAAAGTTTACGTTTCCTTTCTACGAAATTCACTATTTTTTTGCTAACAATTGTTTCATTTAGTCTTTTATGAAAAAAAATATTGAAAAGGGCAAGTCATATGGTGACCAAAAAATTAAGTTATTTGCCAAACGGAAAGTTCATACAGTAAAGCAGAATCCACCATCGCCAAATCGACCTAAGAAGCATAAGCAAATATATTAAGCCATTAAGAGCAAATATTTTCTTAAAATTGTGCAATGATTTACTGCTACCCTAATATGTTACAATTTCTAAATAAATTATAATTATGTTTGCCTGATGTGGGTTTAAGATTTTTTACTATATTTATTCCTGTATGCAGTGTGGTCGACGTTACAAATTGTAAAAAAGCACGTGATTATTTGGGCAAATATATCTCATAATAATATAGCGATAGTAAAAAAATTTACTGCGCCAAAATCATTCGAGCAAAAGTGAGATCACCTGTTTAGACATCATTTCACAATAACCCTAGTTATGAAGTCATTCATCACGTGATTTTAGGCTAAGATAAAACTTCCTAAGATTCTTCTAGAAACTACTTGAAATTTTTCCTCAGAAATCATGTATTATTTTTTAAAGATTTCAATTATTCAACATACCAGAACATGCGAGAATTCTTTCAAATGTCCACTTTTTGAGAATGTATAAATAGGCCTTGAATCCTATCCACCTTTTTCATCAATAAACGAAAAAAACCAAAACGAAAAACCAAAACGGATCACAAAAATTTTCATTTGTACTTTAATTTATAATTTACAATGACGACAATCACCAACTACGGCTGGGATACTCCTTTTACTACTTCCATCTTCGATGATTTCATTAAAGAATGGCCCAGACGGGTTAATAGTCGTGTGAATACTTGGGCTCCTCCATTGGACGTTCACGAAAATGATAAAGAATTCACAGTTAAAACCGAATTACCGGTATTTTATTTATCTTATTTTAATTTAATTTTATCATATCTTTCTCCGTTTTATTAATTTCAAATATTAATTTTTTGTAGGGAATGAAAAAGGAAGAAATAAACGTTGATGTTCGTGACAACGCACTTGTAATTTCTGGTGAAATTAAACAAGATCAGAAGTTTAAAGAAGGAAATACTCACGTTCAAGAACGTCGTTATGGTTCTTTTTCACGTTCAATCGCGCTTCCATCGAATGTTAAACCCGAAGATATTTCAGCCAAGTTTGAAAACGGTCTTCTTGAATTGGTCCTTCCAAAGACAGCTCCTACTGGCAAGAAAATTACCATCTCTTAAAAAAAGCTTATATGAATTAGTTAAAATGTATATTTTATTAGTGAAATATTTTTTGTAGAATTTTATTTATTATTTCAATTTGTATAAGAAAACATTATTACATGTTATACTTTTTCCTTTAATTAATAAAGAATTTATAAACTAAGATGGTGCGTTCCTATTGACAAAGCTTATTTTTGTCGTCTGAATAGTTTTTTACGTAAGTTATAATTTCCCGTGCTTTTTAAACGTGTTATTTCAGTTAATTGGAAATAAAGAAATTCAGAATTAGATAAAACTCGAAAGTTACAGGGGGGGCAAAAAGTAAGGAAATGTTCAAAAATTATTTTATTGCATTGTGCGTTAATTTATATGTTTAAACGCAAGTAGTTGTAACGTGAGTGTAGGAATAACTTACGGTAATACAGTCCTCTATAGCGAATTTTTTTTAGCAACTTATTAAAGAACTCTTTAAATATTGAAACAAGCATTATAAAATGACCCTTAATATAGCGAAGACTTTATGTAGAGATCAAATAAGTGTCGTTATTATATTACTTGTAATTAACGAAATTTTTTGTCAAGTTGCTATAAATCAGTTTTTCATATGATTTGATTTTAAGGTTTCACATCATTAAGGTATCTTTATAAATATATTGTGTACCTATTTGGACTTGATCCTGGGACCTATTTGGATCTGATCTTGGGACTTATTATATAAAAACTTAATCGGACCTGGTTTGTAAGTCCATTTAATAGAATTACAAGTCTTAGAATCAGGATTAACTTAGGATCAACTTAACCAACCCTACTGACGTATCAGGAGTAGTCATTGAATAGTGTGAAAATAAAGGTGAAAAGATATTTTCTAACAACATTTTTGATAAGAAATTATTTGAGAAAAATATTATTGAATGTAAGATGAGCAATTAGTGAAAAAAGAGAATGGTAATATATTCTTAATTGCTTTAAGATTATAATTAAGCTTTGTAAATCTGGTCTAGGTAATATTAAAAAAATTTTTGATATATTTCAAGATAAGTTGTTTACCAATGAGATTACAGATATATTCATATTCAATGTGTTAGAAATTATTCTTCAGAAAATAATTCACACTTCAGTCAAAAAAGAATCTATCTCCTAGTAATAAGAAAGTAGATAAATAGGATGAATCAACTTAAACTCTTTTTGATTATATAATAATAAAAGTTGTACTTTCAGTTACTTCATCATCTAAGATAGCTAAAATATTTAAGATGATCAATCTCAAACTTGAACTCATAGTTGCAGAATCTGAATCTGATTCTTTTTCTGATTCATCTTTAATCAATAAGCCAATTAAATTTAAAAGTAACAATCTTTGAGATATGTGATCAAAAAAATATTAGATGATATTAAGAAGAACATTAAAAATTACTTGTCTAAACTCATTTTAGATTTAGCAAAATGTTTAAATTATAGTTTTGCTAAATTTTTATTAAGATTTTGATATAGTTTTGCATTTTATAAGCTTTGATATAATTTTATCTTATTCAGAATTTCACAGATTTTTTAATAAGATTTTAATATAATTTTGTTAAATTTTATTTTTTTTCATTTAGACGACTTGCAAAACCTCTAAGTTTTGTCTAGCAACTTTATATCTTTATAATTATTATTAAAAAAGACTGACTCAATTTTATTGCATTTTAAGATAAAATAAAAATTAATATTCAGATATGTAGTTATACAAAAGAGATAGAAAAAAATCTTAATAAATATATAGACATGATGGTATAAGAAAGATTAATAGGAGAAAAAATAATCTGTCATGATTTTGAGAAATTACTAGAGTTTTGAAAATGACTCGCATAAACTTGCATATTTGACTCGCATGATTATGTATAATTGTAAATTTTAATTACACATAATAAATAAGTATTTTAAATTAAAGATATGTAGAATAATTTTAACTTAAAATTCGACTTGATTCAACTTATTAAGAATATTAAGAATTACATTTTTATGGCTTAATATTAATGAGAAATAGCAAAAAAATATAAGCATACTTTAAAAGAATGGAATGCTTTAATAAAGAACAAATAAAAAACTAGTTTATAAGTAAGATGTTTGGGTAAGAGTGTCTTTATTATTTTACAATTACTATAAGTAATAAATAATTTTAAATTATTATTATTTTTCACATATCTAATATAAGTCAAATTATAAGGTTATGGTTATATTTTTTTTTTCTTTTACTCCTCTAATAACTTTTACTAATCATTAATAATAAATTATTAGAATAATTATTTTTAAATTAAACTTTTTCTTATGTAATATAATCTGAATTTCACAGATTAATCTAATTACCACTATATAATCTACATATGGGGTCTTTGCAATAGAAAGGAAGGAAACTCTAAAAAAATTAAAATTTTAGTTTATAAGCCAAAAATGTTCTAAATACTATAATTTGTTCAGATTTATTATTAACTCATTTTTTATTTTTTTTTGAGTTTTCTCCCTTTCTATTGCAAAGGCCTCATATTACTTTATGTTTGCTATTACTACTAAGTTTATTACAGATCACAAATTTACTAATGAGATGAGTCTCAAAGAGCTTAGTAAATATGTATTAGTAATACTTAAACTTTTAACAACTGTATATTAAAGGTAAATAAAGAGAAAAGATATCAGGCTTATGATCATCTTCAAAAAAGATATAAATATAGTAAAAAACAGACATTTACATTAATTCTTCACAAGAAAGTTAGACAAAGTAAAAGTTAAGTAATCCTTAAAGAAGAAAATTCAAAAGTCAAAAAATTGAATATATGTTAAATATCTGACAGTACTTATTTCAAGAAGACTATTAAAGAAATAGTTTGGTATATTATGCAAGATAATCTTATTGAAAGAGATGTAAAAGTAATATCTAAAACCTTAATAGTCTCTAATTCATTTATTACCTTATCCTGTCTCTCTAAACTTTAAAAAAAATTGTGAACTCTCAATGCTTTAGAAAAAATAATTTCTTTTACAAAGAAATTCAGAAATAACTAAAAAATCTAATAAAATTCAAAAGAAATATAGTGAGCAATGCAAAAATAAGAAGATTGAATTTTTGAATCATTTTTTATTAGAATCAGTTAAAAAAGATTAGATATCTAATATATCTGACAAATAGACCCTAGTTGATGTAATAATCATACTCTATATCTATTTTGCTAAAATTAAAAACTTGCGTATATTTAATAGAGGTATAATTAGTTACGTAAAAATAAAAAGATACAAGATATTCCTTGAGTATTTAGATCACTAAAAAAGAATAAGAAATAAATAAGACAATTACTTAGATAGATTCAGAAAACAATTTTTTTTAAACAATTAAGAAAATCTAAAAAGCTTGAATCTATATACTTAAGTATATTTCTGAAAAAGATGAATTTATCTCTGAGAGTGATAAATCACTACTTCTTAGTTATTTGCACAAATTAAGATTAATATTTGCTTTTGTAATATATAGACCTAAGAATTAATCAAAGACTAACACTTATAGAGTTCTGAATGAGTTGAGTTGAGTTGAGTTTAAAGATCAACTCTATTTAACTCGTTTTTTTCAAGTTGAGTCAAGTCAAATTTATTTTATAAAATCTTTTAACTTGACTTAATTTGAGTTATATAAATTTTAAACTCAACTCAATTTGACTTAACTTAAGTTTAACTTGACTCAATTTTGATTTGAATTTATTTGAGTTGAGACAAATTTAAATCAAATTTCAAGTCAAATTTAAATTAACTTATAAATATTTAAATATGAAAAAATTTATTTTAAATTATATGATA